AGGCAATATTGGACTTAATTGATTAAGTCCTTAATGGGTTAAGTAAGAAACACTTAACCCTAATCGTCATTTCATGTGAAAACCCTAATTTCACTTGGGCCTTGAGTTGGGCCTTTCTATTGGACTTTGGTGAATGGGCTACTGATAGGATATCCAACAACAAGTAAATGGACTAAAATATTTGGATGGGCTTTAGGGTAAGGCCCATGTGAGGGTTTGGGCCCAATTTGGAAAATTGGGCCATAGATGGGCCATAACTGGGCCTTGAGGATTATGAGAGGTTGAACCAATTGAATTGCCAAATGTTTGGACTGGACTAAGTGGTTGGGCCTTAGGGTAAGACCAAGTAGATGTCTGGGCCCAATTTGGAAATTTGAGCCATATGATGGGCTTTGGTCCATTGGTTGACTATTGGGCCTATGGAGTGTGAGTTGGACCTTGGGCTTGGAACCCAATTATTAATTGGGTGTTGTTTTGATGCTGACAGCTCGAGAATTTGTCAACCAGCAGCTGGAGTTTTATCTGCGGGACGTCAGCAGTGTGAGGTGAGTTTCGCCTCACTATACCGTGGGTCTAAGGCACCAAGGCCGGCCCACTAGTATTGATTATCTGCTAGTAAAAGGATGCCCTAGGGACCGTATATAGTCATGTAGGATAGACTGAGGACTCTTGATCTAAGCTCTCTTACCTGTTCCTTGTTTGGTTGTGGTTTTAGAGTAGGGTCACCTGTCCGGGTGACTATCTCACCTCTGGGTATATACGGTTATGCATTCTTTGGATTGATGATATCTAGTATGCTGTTATGCTGTAGTGATTTAGTAGATCTGTGTTCTGGTATTGAGTATACTGTTATGCTGTAGTGATTTGCTAGATCTGTGCTCTGTATTGAGTATGCTGATATGCTGTAGTGATTTGCTAGATCTGTGCTCTGGTATTGAGTATGCTGATATGTTGTAGTGATCAGTTAGATACGTCTGCTGGTATTGAGTATGTTGCTTTATGGTAACAACCTGTAGAACTGTATGTTAGCTGGGTTTGCTGGTTATCATCTACGGAGTGCCCTTAGGGACTATCGGTGGTTATGTAGGATAGCCTGAGAACTCTTGGTCTAGGCTCTCTTGCCTGTTCCTTGTTAAGTTGTGGCTCTAGAGTAGGACTATCTATTCGGGTGGCTATCTCACCTCTGGTTACTTATGGTTATGCATTCTATGGGGGTAGCTGGTGGCGGGACTGTATGTGGTGAGAGGATTAGTAGACAGTAGTGAGCTGTATGATTGTTGTTGCATGTATTATGTGCCTACTTGATCATGATTGTTTATATGTCGACATATTGTGTTTGGTTGGGTTGAGGCGGTCCTGCTTTGTGGGGAAGGCCAAGATAACCGGTGCGGGCCGGTTGTAAGCTGTAGGCACGGAGGCTCGGGAGGAGCGGTAGGGTTGAGGCGGTAGGCCAACAAACCCTGGGTATTCCAACCCGATGGTTGATTGGACCCGACATACTGGTATTCCAGGCCGAGGCTGATTGGGCAAGGCATGAGTATTTGTGTTTATGCTTGTTTTGTGTGGGGGTATTTTGGGAGAAACTCACTAAGCTTTGTGTTTACGGTTTTAGTTTATTGTTTCAGGTACTGCTGATGATTTTCGCAAGGCGAAGGCGTGACCGTACACATCCTCGTGATTTGGACTTATGATTTCTGGGATACTCTGATATTAAACTATTTTAAAAGCATTTTGTAATAACTAATGGCTTTGGATGTTTGAAAAAGTTTTAAATTGGCTTGATTTTTTATGGGTGTTTGTTAGGTGCAATTTGTGCACCTTTTTTGCACACCTTTTAGTCCCATTTCATGCATCTATTTAGCATAATTGTCCTTCATTTGTCTTGCATTTCATCATATTTCATGTTAGTCTCTAGAACAACCTTAGTTGCACATTTTCATGTCTTTTTCAGGTAAACCGGAGGTTGGAACACGCTTTGGGAAGTGTCGGGAAGCATTGGTGAAGATTTCGGGATGATCGGGCGAAGAACAAAAAAGTTGGAAAAATCAAGTTTGGATTCGGAGTCAGAGGGGTACACGGGCCGTGTTGGATTTACACTGAAAAATCAACACGGGCCGTGTTGACCAAAATGGGAGCTGTTGACCATGCTGAACACGGGCCGTGTCAGTTTTACTCTATGTCCAACACGGGCCGTGTTGATCAAAATGGGAGCTGTTAACCATGCTGAACACGGGCCGTGTCAGTTTTACTCTATGTCCAACACGGGCCGTGTTCGACCCAGAAACCAACTTTTGGCAGTTTTTCCTATCTTTCATATTACGGGTTAAGGGCCATTTTTACAGACACACAACATATCAGAGCACATTTTGAGAAGGATTTTCGAAGGTTTTTGCAAGGGTTTGATTTGCAATCATTTGGAAACATTATTTCTAGTATTTGTAAGTTGTAATTGCATACATTTCCATCTTTTAAACTTGTGATCTAGTTCTAGCCATGTGTGGCTAGAACCCTAGTTTCTCCAACTTCATGTCTTGACTTCTTAGTTATGATTTCAATCATATGACTTGATGTTTGATTTTAATTTCTATCTAGTGAATTTGATTTTGATTTAATCGAATGTTTGATTCTAATTGTGATTCTTATTGGCCATTTGAATTAGGGTTAGGTCATTCAAGTTATCTCTTTTACAAAATCCGTAATTGTTTTGTGAAATTGAACAAGTAATAAGCACTAAACTGATTTCCATTGAATGAATTTAGTGTAAATCTTATTCATACACTCTTACGCTCCCGAGCTTGTGAGGAGTATTGGGTGTTGTTGAGAACATTCACATAAAGTTTAATGCAATCTTTCAATCTAATTCTAAGAGCGTGTTTAGATTAGGTTAGTAAGGTTAGGGTTAATCAAAGAGCTTGTTTTGGTTAATTAATGTGGTGAATGGGAAGTGTTAGAGCTTGTTAACACTTTCAAGTACCAACTTAGATAGAATTGAGCAAATATCATGTTATCTTGGAATTACATTGCTAAGTTGTCATACATGAGGTTGGAGTCCTTACCATTTCTGAATTTAATTCACTCTTTTAGTTGATTACTTGTGTTTTTAATTGTTTGTTTTAATTATTGCATTCAAAACCCCCCTATTTACTGTTGGTGACCATGGTACCTTGCGCAAAGAGGTATAGACTAATTATCTCGTGTCTCTGTGGATCGACCCTGCTTGCCTTGTACTACCTTTTAGTGCAATTAACGAGAAGGGGATTATACTTTAATAATATCGTATCAAACAATTTCTAAAAGGGTGTTTGAATTGATTATTTAACTTATTAGCTTACTAGGTGTAAGACCCGTACATTATACGAGTTAATTAAAAAAATAAAAGATTAAACATTAAAGTGTAAGCAGTAAATATTTTTTGATGTAAAACTTTAAAGTAAAAAAGGAAGAAACGTATTCATTGCAATTTAATTTCATATATATTATATTTAATACTTTATATATATATATATATATATATATATATATATATGACTATAATTTTAAAATTTGAAACAAATCAGAAATTGACAAGTGGATAATATTTATTTCAAAAATACAATAAAATGACAAGTGTCAAAACTCATGAAAGATTGACAAGTGACAAATTTTTTTTCATTTATTAGGGAAGATTGCGTTTTGCCATCGCTAACAAATAGTTTTTAGTGTCCGGATAGATTAAAATTAAAAATGCTTATTGAATTACATAAATAGTTTTTGATAAGTTAGTGGATTCTAACTTATTTAAAATAATTTATGACTTATTTAAACTAATTATCAAATTCACCCTATTGTAAATATATGTCTATATATTTGACAATTAGTTGTTATTTTATATCTATAAGTAGCAAGGTTCTAAAAAACTCGTCGTGACTCAGAGGCTTGTACTTGACGTTATGCTTTAATAAAGTGTCGTCTTAAGTCATATATGTATATAAAAATAAATAATAGTAGAATATATATATATATATATATATATATATATATATATATATACACGCTTAGGTTATTTTGTTTAAAGTAATTATTGTGTTATTGTATGCATAAATGTGGGCCAATCAAATTTACTTATTTTAAGAAAGTGATTAATATATATTATTGAATTAAATATAATTGAAAAAATCATCTTAATTAATTACAAGGGTAATTTAGTCAATTAATATAGATTTAATGAAGGAAAATTGCATTTTTAAGAGATCATAGATTCTATTAATTTTAAAAATCCGATTTTACGAATTATAATTCTTTTAATTCGGACATTCTGACAGAATATGTTTAGGAGTATATTAAAAATAAAAATATTCTTGAACCATAAATAATAAAAATATTCTTGAACCTATTTCTTGATGATGACTTTAAAAACTTCTTGAAGAATAACAACTTCTTGTAGAATAACAAAATCTTGAACAATCAATTGAAGAATAAAAACAAAAAATACATTATTTCTTATAGAATACGAGTAATAATTGTTAAGAATTACATTTCTTGTTAAAGAATAAAACTAAAAAAACAATCAAAACGGGGAAGAAAACATCAAAATCTAACAACGACTAATACATTCTAAAAGAATAATATGGTCCGTTCTTCAAGCATCAACTTCTGTGATTCCAACAGAATTGGAATTCGTCATTCCATTCCAATAGAATTGGAATCTCACCAATATCATCCATTGAATCATCTGCATAAATGAATAAGATTATTCCAAGATTCGGAATCTGGATCGTCGGGGTGATTCTGTACACAAATCAATTTGACTTAATTGTGTGGGATCCACAGTTTTAGTTTCTGATTTCTTTGCGAACATCTTCAAAAGTTATCATTTAGCAAGTTGACAATTTTTACATTACATATACATTGGCATTTACAAAATTATATATATACCCATTCCTTTACAAGCATCAGCAAAAGTGTAACAGAGCAACAAACATACCATGAAAAGACATATGTTCATATGTTGTTAAGCAAAATTAGAAAGAGTCATTAGGCTTCACAAAGTTGTGATATTCCAGTTGAGTCATCTCCCCTCCAGCTTTTGGGTCAAATTGGCATCTATAGAAACTGCACAATTACAACAATTTTAATCCATCAAAAACAGAGTAATCATCATTCCAGAATGAATATAAATCTGTCAAGAAACTTTAATACCTTCCATCTAAGCCAAGAATCACCACTGTGTTCTTTTGATGACCAAATGCAACAATATACTGAGAGCCTTCAACCAATCGGAACTGATCCAACGACCACACAAAGCTAAAATACTTAGGGATAACTCCTGCAACATAATTTAATGACATATTCATGAAACTATAGTATGTCTTTTTGTCAAAGATTCGAGAACAATGGTTGATTTTTAATTAAAAACCAATGCGACTGTGTGTACTGTGCACCTTTAATGAGAGCACGAGATGAACTGGTAATGAGGACTGGATTATCAATAGATGTGATGCTGAAAACATGAATAGTACCCTCATCACTTGATACAGAATGTGTGTTTTTGTCTGTACTTGTCTTCTAGCTCTGTAATTGAGTAATGTGTTTTGTGAGTGAAAATGACGAGTGTGGGCAAGACTTAAAGACGCATAACTCACCATTACCAAACAAATAATTACCCAGATTAACCCCGAATAATTCCATGGCTCCAAAATCTAGAGTGTCCGAACAGACAATTTACGAAAGGAGGAGCTACAGAAAGGAGGTGTTGTTTACCTGATGCTATGAGGAGGAGAGCGAGAGGGCAGATCAAAGAGCCGAGCGAGAGAGATGGTAGGTCGAAACAGTGAGCAGATCAACAAAGAGAAGATGGCCTTGGTTGTAAAATTCTAGGGTTTTGGAAAATTCAGTCATTTACACAAACGAGGGGGGATTGGAATTGAACTCATCTTCATACCGGGCTTGAAGCAGATTTCCCGAACAATCCCGACGGAAGATCCCAATAGCACCACCAAGACCACCTCTGTTCGATGCTTGATTGCTCGATTCTTCCCTCTCCCGATCTATGAAGAAGACGATGAAGGGTCGCTGATGTCGATTTGTTCTAGGGTTTTCAGAATCAGTTTTTAGATAAAGAGGAGAACGAGATTTAAACTGGAGAGATACCATGATTATAGGGATTATTTTTGGAATTTATTAAGCAAATTACTAAATTACCCTTATTTATTTATTTAATTATTTAATTTTTTATTTAATTTTGATTGGCCCACATTTATGCATACAATAACACAATACTTAGTTAAAACATTTGAACCTAGCTCTCTCTCTCTCTCTCTATATATATATATATATATATATATATATATATATATATATATATATATATATAGGCTTAGGTTATTCTATTCAAAGTAATTATTGTGTTATTGTATGCATAAATATGAGCCAATCAATTTTACTTATTTTAAGAAAATGATTAATATATGTTATTGAATTAAATATAATTGAAAAATAACATCTAAATTAATTACAAGGGTATTTTAGACAATTAATATAAATTTAATAAAGGAAAATTATATATTTTAAGGGATCATAGATTCTATTAATTTTTAAAATCCAATTTTACGAATTATAATTCTTTTAATTCGGACATTCTAACAGAATATGTTTATAAGTATATTAAAAAAAATATTCTTGAACCATAAATAATAAAAATTGTGACATCCCCAAAATCACGGCCAGAAAAGACCGGTTTCATTTATGCTATTAAAATAATTTCAGAGTAAATCCATTGATTTAAAAGAGTTGCGGAAATTTGTCCCCAAAACAAAACATGATAAAATAAAGTTTATCAAAGCATTTCTTAAAGAAATGTATTTTCATTATATATCAAAACTCGGGATGTCATGTTCCGATACAGACCAAAAGCATAAACAATACAAAATAGACCTTACAACAGTTACATATAACTACTGGTCTATAATCCAAAAATATCTTGACAATGTCATCCAACTTATGCTCTCGTGCCACTACCTGTAATACAAAGAAAAACTGAGTGGGTCAGGCTTGGGAGCCTGGTGAGCATATATGGTTTTCAACCCACAATAAATAATTATATTTAATTTCACCAACCAACAATAACCCGATTCCCCCATTCCCGTTATCCTCACTTTATGTCCCTAAAACAACTATCACAAGGGACCTAGTCTAAGGATTTTCATCGGGGTGGACATTACTGCGAAGGGGTTTCCTCCACAATAAATGTCCTAAAGGCAACCATGAGGGGGATAGAGTACACCGGTGAACACATCGTTCACAACACCTACAGGTTATGAGCCTGCTAGTGTTCCACTGGACTGTCTAGAAAGAGTCTGTGGTCGTCATCCATACTCCGCTAGATGACTAGATCAACAACAACATCGAGGCCTCTCATCATTTTATTTCATCACACACCAACTGTCTACCCATGTTCTACCCAACATATTAGTAGATAAAATATATACATTTATATACAGCTTAAAACGTGTACAAAACATCCATTCAACAACTAGTTCAAATAAACAAATAATATATAAACACATAGCACGTATTTTATAAAGAATACTTCATATCTATGTGTTAGAAGAAAACGAATATACACTCACTTGATAACACGATGATCGGACAACACCTCGTCTCTTAAAACAATAATCTTCGATGAAACCGGGATGTTTTCTCCAAAACCGGGCTTGACGCGGGCAGAGTTTCGGCTCGCAAACTTTACTTCTCGGGATACTCGGGGCTTCGGGACTTGCTTCGGGTCTCGGGAATGATACTGGGGCTTCGGGGTATAAGTTGCACGCAAAACGAGGCAATAATGAGAGAGAAGAATTGAGCAACAAAACTCGGCAGCCCTTGAGTTCTATTTATAGGGGCTGAAACCCCGATTTACGCTGGGCGTAAATCCTGATTACGCTGGGCGTAATGCCCCTACAAGCAGTACGCTGGGCGTACGAAGATCTACGCGGGGCGTAGTTCGGATAAGCTTTGGTATGCATGCCTCAAACTTCAAAAATTCATAACTTTCGCATACGAGCTCCGTTTTCGACGTTCTTTATATCCACGCGTAGTTGAGGCTATGATCTACAACTTCCATTTAGACTCCGTCGGCTATTTTTTGACTTTATTTTTATTGTATTATTTTTAGTAGGCCAGGACAGGAAAACTCCGTTATAAAATCATAACTTCTTCATCCGACGTCCGTTTTCGTCTGTCTTTTTACCGTTGGACTACTAACGACGAGATCTTCGATTCTCGTTTAGATTTTTTCGGCTAAAAGTCGCTCGATCTCATATTCGAGTTTCAGGCTGCATACCGCTAAGTCGAAATTTAGAAAAATCATAACTTCCTCATACGAAGTCAGATTTAGACGTTCTTTTTATGCACGCTCTCGGTTTAACGAACTCTTCGACTTCCGTTTAGATCACTAAGGCTAAATATCGCTCTATCTTAAATTCGTATTTTACGTCATACAGTGCCGTGTCGGTTCTGTTACGAAACTTCGACAGGTCATAACTTCTCCGTTATAACTCGGATTTCGGCATTCTTTATATATTCGGAAACCTTGCCACGACTACTACAAATTCCTTCATAGATATCAGGCTTATCTAATATTTTATTTTATCGCTTATTTTTATCCTTAATTCATTTAAATCACACAATTAAGCAATAAACATATAATACTCAAATAATACATTCTTATTATTTCAAAATGAGTTACAAAGGTTAACCTAGACTATTACAACGACATTAAAGCCTAGCCCAGAAACACGGGCGTTACAATTCTCTCCACCTTAGAATGATTCCGTCCCCGGAATCACACATCAACAAACAAATGCGGATAGCGACTCATCATGTCACTCTCCGTTTCCCAGGTGAGATTTGGCCCATTCGTATGTTTCCAATGGACAAGCACCAATTCGACCATCTTACGTCGTAATTTCTTAGTCTTTCGGTCAACGATTGCCTCCGGTTCTTCAATTAACCTTTTGTTCTCATCAATTCTTAACTCAGAAATTGGAATTATATCGGGAACTTCTCCCGTGAACTTCCTCAAATAACACACATGGAAAGTGTTATGAATTCCATTCAGTTCTTCGGGTAGTTCGAGCTTGTAAGCTTGGTTCCCAATCCTCTGAAGAACTTTAAACGGTCCAATAAACCTTGGACTTAACTTTCCCCTTTTACCAAACCTTATAAGTCCCTTCCACGGCGAGACTTTAAGCAAAACCGAATCTCCAACTTCAAAAGTCATCGGTCATCTTTTCTTGTCAGCATAGCTCTTTTGACGATCCTGAGCTGCTAACATTCTTTCCTTGATTATTTTCAACTTTTCAGCAGTTTGATGGACTATCTCCGGTCCCATAAACTGCTTTTCCCCAGCCTCAAGCCAACAAGACGGCGTACGACACTTCTGTCCGTACAAAGCTTGATAAGGTGCCATCTTTATGCTCGAGTGGAAACTATTATTGTAGGAAAATTCTACCAAAGGTAAGTGTTCGTCCCAGTTACCTTGGAATTCCAGGGTACATGCTCTCAGCATATCTTCAAGTGTTTGTATCGTTCGTTCGCTCTGACCATCAGTCTGTGGATGGTAAGCTGTACTTAAACACAACTTGGTACCCAATTCCTCTTGTAGACTTTTCCAAAATCTTGAGGTGAAACGGCTGTCACGATCTGACACAATCGTTAACGGAACACCGTGAAGCCTCACAATTTCCTTCACGTAAGAATTCGCAAGCTTATCCATAGACCATTTCTCATTGGCTGCTATGAAGTGCGCACTCTTAGTGAAGCGATCAACGACCACCCAAATCATGTCGTGACCATTCTTTGTTCTGGGCAGTTTAGTGACAAAATCCATAGTGATGTCTTCCCACTTACCCATAGGCACAGGTAAAGGTTCTAAACTCCCGTATGGTTTCTGATGTTGTGCCTTGACTCTCGCACATGTCACACACTCCGCCACATACTTCGCAATGTCGAGCTTCATCGTCGGCCACCAGTAATAGGGTTTTAGGTCCCTATACATTTTAGTGCTACTGGGATGAATTGAGTACATGGTTTTGTGAGCTTCTTCCATCAGAAGATCTCTTATTCCTCCTGACTTAGGTACCCAAATACGATCTTGGAATACCTTCAGTCCATGACCGTTTGTACCAAACACTAACGTTTTGCCCAAACGTTCTTCCTTTCGGTCATTCTTCTTAGAAGCTTCTTCTTGAGCTTTCTTTATACTCTCCACAATTGTCGAGACAACTTCTATTCTCAACGCTCTTGGCCTTTTTCTTTCAAGATTGACTTTCCGACTGAGAGCATCAGCAACAACATTGGCTTTACCGGGGTGGTAAAGTATCTCACAGTCGTAGTCCTTAAGTAATTCTAGCCAGCGTCGCTGCCTCATATTCAATTCCTTTTGACTAAAGAGATATTGGAGACTCTTATGATCAGTGAAAAGTTTGCACTTCGAGCCATAGAGGTAATGCCTCCATATCTTTAGAGAAAATACTACCGCTGCCAACTCCAAATCATGAGTGGGGTAGTTCTTTTCATGCTCTTTCAGCTGTCGAGACGCATATGCTATCACCTTTTCTCTTTGGGTCAAAACACAACCCAACCCAACACCAGACGCATCGCTATAGACAGCGAAGTCTTCAACTCCATCGGGTAGAGAAAGAATCGGTGCCTCACATAGCTTCTTCTTTAGCAACTCGAATGCTTCTTTGTGCTTATCACTCCAAGCATAAGTAGCTCCTTTGTGAGTCAAAGCTGTTAATGGAGTAGCGATCGAAGAAAAGCCTTGGATAAACCTTCGGTAATATCCGGCTAATCCTAAAAAGCTTCGGATCTCCGTGGGACTTTTCGGTTGTTCCCACTTCATCACAGCTTCAATCTTTGCTGGATCAACCATTATCCCTTCTTGGTTGACCACGTGACCCAAGAATTGGACTTCTCGAATCCAAAAATCACATTTGGAGAACTTAGCATACAACTTCTCCTTCTTCAAGACTTCCAACACTTCTCGCAAGTGTCTGCCATGCTCCTCTTGGCTTTTCGAATAAATCAGAATGTCATCTATGAACACTATCACAGATTTATCAAGGAACGGATTGCAAACTCTGTTCATTAAA